TGTCCTTTGCCTTTATGTGGAGATTTTAATAGTTTTGCTAATTCATAGAGCAAATAAAGATGACTTGTTCTAATGTCTCTATAACTAATGCACTTCTTTTTCTTGTTTTATCTTATTACTACTAGAAGAAATGTGAATTTAGAATATATAAACTTGGGTTTCTGGAGATACCTTATTGATACAAACAATACCTAGACATCTTTTTTTCCAAAGATTTGTTTTATATTTGATAGAGAAAGAGAGAGAGAGCACAAGCAAGGGGAGCTGCAGAGGGAGAGGAAGGACCCTAGGATCATGTCCTGAGCTGAAGGCAGATGCAAAACCAACAGAGTTGCCCGGACACCCCAATACCTAGACATTTTCTTAAGCAGTGATTTATTAATCTTTGAAATATGAACATGAATTATTTGATCAAAAGTATTATTCACTGAACAAACACCAATTTCTTCCCTTCCCAGATTCTAGGAAGGAGAAAAGCAAAAGAGTGTTCAAAGAATGTTAATTTACAGAGACTCTCTTGGTTGGAACATCATTATAGACTTAGTACTTGTGCTCTGTTTACTCACTGCCTAATGCAGTGCCTGAAACAAAGTAGGTGAACAATAGGTATGAATAAATAGAAAAATAGTGAACACAGACATATTAATAATCTCTCTTATCCCATATTTTCATTCCTTTTCTAAGTGGTATGGATTTTTAGTACTTGTTAGCCACTTTTTTCCCCCAAGATTTTATTTATTTGTCAGAGAAAGAGAGAGCGAGAGAGCACAAGCAGGGGAATGGCAGGCAGAGAAAGAAGCAAGCTCCCCACTGAGCAAGAAGCCCAACATAGGGCTCCATTCCTGGACCCTAGAATCACAACCCGAGTCAAAGACAGACACTTGACTGAGCCACCCAGGCGTCCCAAGCCACTGCATCATTATCCATAAAGGCTGGATACAGGTTCATATGAGAAAATTCCACATTTAATACAAAAACATATATTTAACTGTTAGTATTACTTTCCTTCCTTCAGTCTTGACTTCACTCCTTAGAATAATGAAGCAGCATCACTGGGTTTTATCTATACTCCCTTTCTCGTCAGAGAAAAAGGACAAGAGGCAAGGGAAATCACAAGGATTGTGAACCCACAAAAACAAGGGGGACTAGCAACTCAGTTATGCTTATCTTTGTATTTCTCAAAAATAGCTAAAAAATTAGCTCAATCAAGATCTTTTTTAAGGTTAAAGCTTGGTGTAATGACGACATATTTCCAGTAGGTGGCAGTGTTTTCTTTCTTCAGCGTAAGTAGAATTCTTAAACATTTGCCTCAAGGTTTGTTGGTTTTGTTTTTGTTTTTTTAATTTTACTATTCCTTCAGGAACCTGCAGGTGACAATAAATAAGTTAGTGAAACTGAGGTTTCTTTCACTTTTTTCTTTTCTTTTTCTTTCACTTAAAAAAAAAAAAATGACCCTTGTTGATTTCAAAAGCCCCAGATGCCCAACTTGAACTTCTGCTGCCACTGATAGCAAGGTATAGGTACACCAGGGTAGATGGCTCTAATCCTCCTCCCCATTTCCTGACCCAGGTTATTACTAAGGACTAGCTAATAGAGGGTAATGTCTCGGAGCAAATGCCGACAAGATTTTCTGCCTAAGCACAAAACAAAACAAAAATAAAACACCAACTTTTGAATTCTCGATTTTAGGGAAAAGATTCATTAAATTATGCAGATGTCTTTCCTGGTTGGTTAATAATGAACTTGAAAAATTATTCGCATACCCTATTTTAATGGTAACACCTAAACTTTGGTAGTTCCACAAGACCTCTGAATACTTCCAACAGATACGTGTTGTCCCATGTCTGACACGAAGTAAACGGTTCAGAAACTAGGTTTTAAGAAGGAAAGCAGGACTGAAATTCCAGTGACATATGCTGGAGTTGAAAAACGGAAATGTGAATTAGTGGGATAATATCTCGAATACTTTATCTACAAAAATATTGTGTTAGCGAGAGTAGGGAAGCGCGCCTTTCACCGATTTCTCAGAAGTATTCTTTTATAAACAAAGCTTCAAGTAACAGGAGAAAATGTTCAAGGGCTCAGTGTTTCACCGAAAACACGGAGAGAGCTGGATTAGGCCATCAAGTCCCTCCCGCCCCCCGTGAATATTCACCTGATAATAGAAGGTTTTTTAGGGTTTAGGGGGTTTTTAAGCCATCCTCTACTTTCCAGACAATCCGGCAGCACTCGTGCAGCCCACCTGGTGCCTCTCTGACCCCCGCCGCGCCCCCCTATTCTCTCCCGCACGCGTGGACCTCTGACCCAGGCCCGGCGTCGGCCTGGCGCACTGTCCAGGTCCAGGTAAACTGCCCAGCCACGGTACTCAGACGCGCTGACAGGTGGCCTCGCTCGCCTTCCTGCCGCCCAGGGCGGCGCTCTTCTTCACTCCAGGCCCGCGGCCACAGCCCGCGCCCCAGGCACAGCTCCCAAGCTGGCTCCAGAAGTCGGGCGGCTTCCCCAGGGAGAGCGAGGCCCGAGAGGGGCGCCGGGTCTCCCGCGAGGCCGCCGACAAGAGCAAAGGGCAGCCAAGGCCAGAGCCCGGTGAACGGTGATCAGGCCGGGCACTTCTCGCGCCGCTGGGACCAGGGCCACAAGGAGCCCGACACCACGCACGTCCAGCTCCGCGTACCGCCCCTCGGTTCCCTTGGTTTGCTCCGCGACCCTCGGAACCCGCCCACGCCCCCTTCACGCCCACCCCCCCACCCCCACCCCCCCAGCGGCAGTGACCCCAGCTCTCCACCGCCCGCCGGCCAAACCGATCTGCTACCCCCGGGCCCCAATGGGACCCAGGGGTCACTCGAGTCGGCGAACCACATTCCCAAGGACGAGCAGCCGGTGGCAGCACCGCCCCCTCTCAAGTGCCCTTCGGGTCCTCTATGGCCAGCACGCCCGCGGCTCTAGGGCCCTGACCTCTCCAGAACCCGCTGGCGGCCAGGGGAGGAATTCACTCGGACCCCTCCCCTTCCCCAAACTTCTTCCCTCCGCGGGGCGGTTCTTCCAACCCGACCCCTCTGCGCCATCCGGCTCCTCCCTCTCTGCTCCCCTCCCCTTTTCTGGTCCCCACTTAGGAATCCACCCCCCCACCCCAGTCGCTGGCCGGGTCCGGGGATCCTCCCCCCGACTCCCCCCCGCGTGCCGCCGCCGCCGCCGCCGCCTGGGTTCCTCTCCCCCCTCTCGGGCGCTCCCTGCCAAGCCCATGATGTAATGGTGTATGTTAATCAGTAGCATGTGGGGAGCTCCGGCTCCGGCAGCTCAGTCCTCCGCGAGCCGACACTGGAGGCAGCAGCAGCGGCGGCCCGGACCCGCAGCGCCGCACTCTCTCAGCGCCGCCCGCCCCGACGGCATGGCCCGCGGCCCGCGCTCCGGGCGCCCGCAACCTCTCTGAGAGCCGCCGCGGCCCCCGACCCACGAGTGGGGTCCCGAGCCGCCGGGATGAACCGCGCCGAGGTGAGCGCCCCCACCCTTCCGACCCCGGGAGGGGATCTGCCGGCCACTGGGTCCCCTTCCCGAGAGACCTTCCCCTCTGCTTGAGAACTTCTGGGAGGCGGGAAGAGGGATGCTGGCCCCTCGAGGGCTGAGCCGCTGGGCTCCTCTCTCCGCCGGTGGCGGCCACCCGGACAGGGATAAGAGTGGGAGAGCCCCCCGAAGCTGAACTTTCTTCTTTGCGGTCGTTGGGGGGCGTGTGCGGGCGGCGTGGAGCCGCAGTCTCCGCGGAGCCGCCCAGCCCGCCGGGGGAAACAGTGTTTCGGACTCAAGCGATCTCCGCGCTTAGTGCGCGCCCGGGGCCGTGCAGTCTTCGGCCTGGGAAGCGCGGGCGAGGCGCTGGACCGGCGGGACCCGCCCGTAGGCGGTGGCAGTCAGGGCTGAATGCCTAAAGCGCACAGGCTCGTACACACAAACGCACACGCACGCACACATCTGATCGCTCTGGGCAAAGCAGGCCCTCGGAGACCTCCCGGATGGGCTGGAGCGGCGCGGCGCGGGGGAGCCGGGGCTCCGGCTGCGCCTCCGCCCGCTGGGCTCCGAGCTTTGGGTGGGGAGTTTATTTTTGTCTCGAGCTGCTGCCGCGGCTGCTCACGGCCTAAATCCAGAGGGGCGCCTGGCGGTGGAGATGCTGGCTGTTGCTGTAGATGGAGCTGCAGCGGCTCGGCTGCTTCTCCGGGAGGTGGAGGAGGAGGAGGAGAAGAGGAGGAGGAGGTGGTAGAGGAGGAGGTAGAGAAGAAGGAGGAGGAGGAGGTAGAGAAAGAGGAGGGGGAGGTAGAGGAGGAGGAGGGGGAGGTACAGGAGGAAGAGGAGGAGGTAGAGAAGGAGAAGGAGGAGGTAGAGGAGGTAGAGGAGGAGGAGGAGGAGGAAGGAACTCGGGCTGCTGCTCCCTCCGCCTCTGTTTTGCATTAGCCCCCACCCCCACCCCCGCGCCCCTTCGCAGCCGCATTGCAAGTTTTCCGCGCGAGGATCTGTTGCTGGTGCTGGCGTTTGCAGGCTCAGCCCTCGAGGCCACCCCGGGTGGGGTGTGTGGGGAGCACCAGCCGTTGGCGGCGGCAGCAACAGGAAGCCGTGGGGTCTCCTCACGCACCTGGGAAGGAGCCTTCTGGCCATTCCCAGAACGGGAAGAGCTCCTCTGGCGCATCCGGGTGCGGAGGGGGGCTGCCGGAATTTGGGGGGACCAGCCCCCCGCGGGGCGCCCCCCCGCCCCTTCTAATGCACTCGTTTCCCGGGCGCGCTCTCTCCCTGGCCGAGGTCTCACTGCAGCCTTTCTCTCCTTCCAGTGGTGATCGCCGCTCGGGAATGCGGGTGTGAAGGGTCCGAGCTGCCGCCCAGCGGGGAAGAGACCCCGGGACGCCGGAAATCACCATCCCGAAGCTGCGAGAAGGGGGGGAAAGAGAGCATTCTTTCAGTTTGTGTGCCTTGTGGGGAATTTTTTTAATCGTTATTTTTTTAAAAAGAAACATTTCCGTGCAACTGTCTGTCATCATCTCTGGGGAAATCAGCCAGAACCACCGGAACGTAACCAAAACCAGACGACAGAGGCAGGAGCCGAGGCCGTACCTGCAGCGTCCGGACACCAGAGCCACCTTGGAACCGGAACGCGTCTCCGGCGGCCACGGGGCTGCGGCTCCGCCAAACTTTGGGGCGGGCGGGGCGGGCTGGGGCGCCGAGGGGGCTTCGTAGACCGAGGGCCGCCCCCTAACCATGATGTTTCGCGACCAGGTCGGGGTGCTGGCGGGCTGGTTTAAGGGCTGGAACGAGTGCGAGCAGACTGTTGCGCTGCTGTCGCTGCTTAAGCGCGTGAGCCAGACCCAGGCCCGCTTCCTTCAGCTCTGCCTGGAGCACTCGCTGGCCGACTGCGCCGAACTGCACGTCCTCGAAGGGGAGGCCAACAGCCCCGGTAAGTGAGCGGCCACTGCTGTCCCGCCTGTTACCCCCCCCCCTTCCTCCTTCCCCCACCCCCTCCTGCTTCCCAGCCTCCGGCCAGGGCCCGGTCCCCGCCCGCCTCCCAGCGGGTACACGGAGGGCGCGAGCCGGGGCCCTTGGCATCTCAGCACCCCCCCGCCCCCACCCCGTCCCTGCCGCCCACTTACCTCCGCTGGCCGCTTTGGTTTTTTGCCCACTGTCAACTCCTTCAGCCCATTCCGTGTGGTAGCCACGGTAGCATGAATGATTGATTTTTCTCTCATGCAGTTTCCTGGGAAATAAGTAAGTCAGGTCACGTAGAGTCTGGATTTTCTGGGCTTTTTTTTTTTCCCCCTTCTTCTTCTCCTTCTGGGCAACGTGGCTCTCTGTATTTCAGCAACACATGAAGAAGCCGGACTGCCCTTCAGAGAGCCGAGCTTTGATTAGGCTGTATGAGGAATACAAGGAAATTCAATTTTATCATTCGTTTCCCCCCATGGATATTCCAGTTTTAGAGCTCTGTCTTCCGACTCAGACGCAGGTGACGCTACAGACTAAAATGATATTTGCAGGTTGTATTCTATGGGGTTATACTGACCAATCACGACCTTATCGTGTTGATTATGGATCTTGTAAGAAGGGATCTTATGTAAAGGGTCTCCGCGGAGAGAAGGCGTGAATCAGGGTCTGTCATGCTCTTTGTCGGAAAACTTTGCTGAATATAACAATTGTTTCACACTTGGCTAGTATTTACAGACATCTCAACTAGTATAGAAAGTGAATATACTGGGAACGTGCTGCAGTTTTCTATTTGCTAGTATGGGTGGTGACGGACTGAAATTATATCTTGGGGTGGGGAAGTGGGGGTAAGGATGGGGGATGGGGGAATGGTCTGTTTGTCGTATAATTTTGGATAGGGGAAATTCTTTAGTTCATGCTGCAGCAGGAGGGTGAACAGAGTCCCCAGTGTTTACGCAGAGGAAAGAATGCAAGGTCCTCTTCCAGCTGTTCCATGTTAAAGCCGCCAGTCTGCAAGACTCAGCAGAGGTCTGGGCTGCCTTTGGATGACAAGGTCCAGTCCAGGGCAGCAGGGCCTGGGAGACACCAGAGTGAGTGAGTGTGCTGTCTGGGCAGCAAAAGGAGAGCTGGCCTCCTCCTCACTCCTCCTCCCTGGTGTGGTGCTCATGAGGCTGAAAACCCTTGGATGGGATGTTTCCATATATAGAATCATAGGCTGGAAGTGAGCCGGGAAATCCTCACAGCCCTTTTCTTAACCAGACAGGACTGGACCCAGAGGTCCCTGTGCTGCCAGGTGTGGAAGGCCACATGAGAGAGATCACACAGGCCCCATTGGGATTTAGCCAGAGCCCAGACAGCCCACCCCCTTACAGGGGTGGCAGTGGGGGGGGGACCCTTTCTGTTCAGTTCCACATTTATAAATAGCTGAAGGGCCAGCCTCCTTCATAAGGGTGTGGAAGCATAACTAGGAAAACCGATGATCTACTCTCTTGACTTCTGTCCTTGATATGACAGGGTGGCCTGGTTCAGCAGCTCAATTTTGTTTTCTCAGGTTTGACAAACAAGGTTATGTAAACTTTCGGGTGTTAGAGAATGCAGGGGATTTCAGTATAGCCATTGATGTCCAATGCTTGACTTCACGGCTTGTAGGGACTATTTCAAAGAATGGTAATGAATCTTTAGGTGACTCAAATGTTAGAGCAACATTTTTACCCTTTGAGTTAAAGGAGACTTTTTTCCCCCACGTAGCAGCAGTTCAGTAAGTGAAAACATTCAATGTGTGGTGCAAAAAGAAGTTGCTCTCTTTAAAAACCTTGCCATTGAATAAACCAAGAGAAAAATGAATTTCTCTGAGTTTTTAAAAGTCACTTGGTAATTCCCCCCCCCCGCCCCGCCCCAAATTTTATTTCACTACACTTAACTTGTGTAAGCCTACCTGTTCATGTTGCCAAATGCCGTAGGGATACCAAATCTAGAGCCATTATGTAAGACAGGGACCCTTTTCCAGTTTCTGAATTAATCATTCCACCTGATTTTGCTTCCTTGGAAAACTTCACACTTGCTTTGTTGTATGGCCAGGACAGAAATTCATTAGTAAGGGTGTGTGTTGAGTCGATTTACTTCTCTAGGAGGATCATAAAGAACATCAAGCTTTGTCGTTATCCATCCATGTCTGGAGTCTGACTCTCTCACGTACCTGGAACCTAGCCAAGAGCCAGGAAAGGGACAAAAATTCCCACACGGCAATCATAATAGAGGGCAGAAATTATGGGAGAATATTTCAAACCCTTTCTCAGAACATACTTACTCTTGTTTTAGACAACAATCCTAACAATTTTTTTAATGTGAAAAATTAATCCATGGTCTATTAGGGGTAGCACCTTTAGAATGGGATGAGGGGCTGCTGTCACCAGCAGTGCGAGGTGACCCTAGACAGGTTGGCCACCGGGAAAGTGATAGAAGCATTCTTACTTTCGACACAAGAATTGGGAGCAGAAGCCCTCAGGTTTGGATATGTGAGGATAGAAATGCTCAATTGCTATTTAGCATGAATGAGCGTGAACTACCAAAAAGGGTACGCTTTCAAGTGCAGTCTTTGAGAAGAGAGGGAGATATGCCATAAACTTTGAAAATATTGACACTCAAGATAATTAACCTCCAAGGCGGTTTTGGTGTGTAAAGCTCTTACCCATTCAGAAAACTAGGCTGTGTAGAATGACTCATTCATTGGCTGGCTGGGGTTTCATATACCAAAATCATCATGTATCACTTACTGTACTTTGTGATCATCAATTTAAAAGCACATATTTCTTTTGGATTTGAGAGATTTTAAACCTTGCTGAATGGGAACCAAATTCCTATCTAAGGCATGATCTCAGTATAATAAAAAAATTAATTAGTCATAGTATGAACTTGGCTCTGTTTTCTCCAGGACTGACTTTAAATAGAGAGAAAAAATTTTTCACGTTAAGCATGGCTTGTTTGAGATCTGTGGGATGTATTTTGATACTAACTTTTTAGTCTCTTAAATTTAGCACTTATTGAGAATTTAGGGGTTCACTGGTTTATCCTTTGCCTTGGATTCATGGTCATGTGAGATCCAAAAAATGGTTGAATCCATCCCTGTGGGCACGTGTGTGTGTGTGTGTGTGTGTGTGTGTGTGTGTGTTTCCCCTCTAGATTTACCAATGGGTATTGCTAATGGTCACCTTCCTAAGTAGAGGCTGGATTCCAGAACCCTGAAATTGTAGATTTTAGTGCACTTTGATCACCAACCCAGATTAACCATGAGACTTCCGGCCAGCCTCAGTTTGTGGGTGAGTGTTTCTGGGGCTAACAATTCCTTTGATGCATTAAAATGGCAAAAATGGAACCCACTGACTTTATTTGCAGTTTCCTAAAGAAAAATAGGTTGTATGGCATTGTTTATTCATGACTTTTGTCATTTGGACTTGAAATATGTTTTGCGGTGGAAACAGTGTAACAAATGGAGGTTCACAAGTGAATCCATGAAGACTTCCAAAACAGTGCATACTCTGGGGCAATTGCATATGTTTGTGGTAAATAAATGGCAAAAAGATTGTTGCTTTACTTATAATTAATACAAGAGAAAAGATTATCTGAAATGGCAGTGCTTGAGACAAAACCAGTTGTGGAAATTGTACAAGGACCTATGTGCCCATTTACTTTCATTAGAGGATGAAGATGTTGACTCTGTGATTTTTATGGTGTTTGGTTTCCATAGTGTGGGTATGCCATACCCCAAGGTGCTTGTTTTTAGATCACAAATGGAGTCAAAGGAAAGCAGAAGAATGGAGATTTTCCTGATGATCCTGGAGGAGACCTTGTGTGTAGTTCTTCCTTTCACTTATTCATCAACATTCATTTTCTGACTGCCTACTGCTTTCCTGCTCCTGTGTTATGCAGTGGGAGGCACAGAGGTGCCTTGCTATATTTCAGAGCCTGGTCCATAGATGCCCAGTGTCGAGTAAATGACTAATACGATATCATAGGTGCTGAAGCACAATTATGGGAATAAAGAGGGTGAAGGAAGGGCTTCTGGGAGCATTGTGAACCTAGCAGCTAATTAATTGTCTGGGGGAGTCCGAGAACATTTTACTGGAAAGGAGATATGTTTGAGTTGAATTTTGAAGGGTGACTAGAAGTTGGTTCAATGTGTCCAAAGGATTGGAGAGAGTAGGCGTGAAGGCATTTTTCAAGCAGAAGGGATAGCTTTGATAAGAATGTTGCCTCTTGAAGGGGCTTGTGCTGGAAATAGTGAGTTCAGGGTGACTAGAGGAGAGCAGAATGTTGACCATGAGGAAGCTAAAGTTAATACAAAAGCTGTGGGTGTGTGGGATTTGCCAGCTAGGATGTTTGGATTCAATCCTGAAGAGTTGTTAGAAAGCCCAAGAAGGATTTTAGGAAAGGAGGTAGAAGATGGAAGGTGTGTGTGTGTGTGTGTGTGTGTGTGTGTGTGTGTATTTGTACACTTTTGGGAAGGAGATTCTAGTATTTGCATGATCCTCTGAGAGGCACAAAGGGAGAAGTGAGGTAAAGTTTGGTTTATTTCCATTTCCATTTTCGTCACCTGGTGGCATCATCAGCTCTGGACAGCTTTGTTGCTCTCAGCATTGATCTGTGGGGGAGAAGGAAGGATGGACGTGGAGAGGAAAAGAAGATATTGTCCAGGTGGGCATTTATTTATATCCATGGGAGGGCATCTGTTGTAAGGGATTCTTAGAGTATGGATTTTGAAATCAGAGTGGGCTAATCAATTAATTTCTGAGGCTCAGTTTTCTCATCTGTAAAATGGAGCTCATAAAACCTTGTTATTGTCCAGAAGTGACTTGTTAATAATCCACTGAGGACCTCTTCTATGCTGCATGGCTTCAGTTTGCCTCTAACTTATGCGGGATTGCCTCCAGTGGATGTGGAATGTGGAATATGAATTGGAGATGAGAGGAACTCTTTTTC